TTCGTAGATTAAATATACGATATTCGTGATTTAATATACAGTATAAAATAAGAGTAAAATAAAGTAAAGTACGAGAAAAGAGGTTAGAGTATCTTAGATTCTAGATCCACTCTGATGGGATAGAAGATCCACTCTGGTGGAATTTAAATTGCTCCTGTTCCGTAGTTATCACGATTATGCAATGCATTGGAATATAAATCGCGTATCATAGTTGTACACACACACACTTGCTTTGCATTACAGTCCTGATTATATTTTTTCTACTCGCTTGAGCTTCGGATGTTTTTACAGAATTTATTGAAGGAGCAATCTGTATTTCAAATACAGATATTCCTATCTCGTCGAATGTCATAAGGCGGATAAAATACGAGTATTTTAAGTTCCAAATAAACAAAAATGACTGATGCGGTTTTCTTGCCTAAATTTTGCAACGTGGATAACAGGGAAGATAGACGGCTTCGGTATTTTTAAATAAACGATAAATGATTAATGTGAAACGTAATTGCTCGTTCGCAAAGAACTATATTTTAAATTTACTTTAAGAAAACGAATTTTAGACGAAAATAATCTGTAATGAATGATGCAAAGCTTGCGATAGCGAATAAAAATTCAGCAATAGGTTTTTTTCAAGTTCTGTCACACAGTTTTCATTGAAACGCATTTAGCAAACGTAGTATATTGTCAATCGTCACTTGTGCTTGTGCATTCCAAGCACGCATGGACGCATGTGCTTACATGACAAACAGGTATGTACTTTTAAAATTAACTAGCAATAAAAAAGAACACCTCAGAAAGATGCTATGTTTCTGTAGAATTCTCCAGGAAATATCGGAATGTTGCAAGGATTGTTTAAAAAATTTATCTTTCCTTCAAAATGTGTGCAAATGTTGGAATGATGAAAGATGCTAGTTCCACAGATCTAGCTTGGCCGAAAGGGCGAAAAAAGAGAGGAAAGAAAAACGAAAGTGTGGCGAAAGAGAAGCAAAAATAGATTGTTAACCGGTAAAAAGTGAAATTACATTCATCCGCGCAGACGTTGGAAAAAAATTCTAACCGGTTCTCTAGCAGAAGTCGTCTGGGAAAGATACGCGCCACGCGTGTTCCGGAAGAGCTAATAGAATTCGCACACGATTCTTTTTCCGCGTTTAAATGGACGAGCATGGAATTTCGCAGCTTCCGTCGCAACGAAACCGACAACTTGCAAGAGACTCTTTGTCTTCCTCGTTTGAATAAATTATTCATTGTTCGTTGTTTTCCTATCGAGTCGTACGACCCTTTTTGATTAATCACTATCAAAATCGTAATAAGAAAAATCTATAAATTGAAAGCTTAGCGTGAAACTTGAAAAGTAGACGAGTTTCAATGCCTTATTATTCCAAAATCTTCTGAGTTATCTAATACGTAGTGTAAGAATTATTATGAAGAAAATACAAATTTTTTTATATTGTAATAATATATTGTTATGTTAACTCCATTTATAAATTCTCATGCACTTGTGCAAAATTTAAAAATCATTTACTGCAGTAAAATTTATGTAAAAATGTATAGAATCTATTGTTTAAAAATATTATAAAAATATCACTTTTTATTATATTATTTTATATTACTTTTATTATATTAAAAATAGAGTATTTTTTATAAAGTTTAATAAAGAGAACAGCCTCTACCTAAGCTTCTTTCATTCCTTCAACTGTGCTCGTAAAAATATAAAATAAAAACTCGCATTCTAATAATAAATAATAAGATCTTATATTATATTCGTAATTTAATTATATTTATCAAATTCCTCAAATAGTCTCCAAACCATCTACTTGTGAATTCACCTCGTCATCATTACTTCGTATTATCGTTCGATGAGAATTATAGTTGCAAAATTCTTTCACTTTTCTTGTCGTAAATGTGCAGTAATTTCAATTTCAAAATATTGATCTCCTCGAAATTACGAGATTATCTGCATGATTGAATAAATTTTACTAAAAAAAAATATCTGATACACAGTTGTTAGAACCACTTATCGTTTCAATTAATCAAATAGTCTTCGTACATTGTAACTTATTCGAGTTGAAACTGAACGTCCAATGATTGATAGGGTCATCAAGGATTCAATATGATTCTGTACACGTGTTTGCCTCTTTGAATTGCGTTTCGTGCAAGGGTCAATCCGCTCGACTAAAGATCTGTCTTTTACTTGCTGCTAAGAAGACGATCGTTTTTTTGTCAGCGGGGTTTTTTTTTTTTAATTTCTTTAATAATGCCGAGACGAAGGTCTCGACGCGCGTTACACGAATTAAAGCCAATAACGTCTTGCACAAAGCGCTCGTCGTAACATCGAGTTAATCTAAATTGCATTATAAATGGCCGAAAAGAATTGGCTACTTACATTCTGTATTCGTGCATCGCGTAGCTCCAAAATATCTTGCACACAGTTTCAACACTAACATTATGACTAAAGTGCAAATCTTACATCAAAGAAATTAAAGTGCGGAAAACAGAGAAATCTCAAGTTTTCAATTATGCATTCCACGAAAGATTACAAATTGCTCATTTTAAACAATCTGAAAGTTCCTTGCTCTTAATAATATTAATATTGAGCCACACTCATGGTACGGATTATGGATCAAATTGCAAGACTACGTGTGTACTGTTGAAAAGAAATTTTTGCAATATCTTGCTAGTGACATAAAGTAAAATATAGCGAAGAATCACAAGACAAGGATCATTCCACGTTTTGATGAAACCTTGGGAGAATAGATTTCCGTTAGGATAAATAATTATTACGTTTATTATAAATGTAGAATATGATAGTATATAGAAATTATTAATTCAGTTCGGTGGATCTTTTATAAAAGCAAGTTGGAAGAATTTTTTAATTTTCTAAAGCGTCAGAAATTTCAAACCCAAAGGAGAATTTGCAAACCAGCAGCCAGTCAGCTAAAAAGTAGTCTCCACGTAGTCTCTGCACGTATGTACACTTTTTCAAGATTTTCATTTCGTAGTGAAGATCAATCCGACCCACTCTCTCTCTCTCTCTCTCTCTCTCTCTTTCTTTTTCTCTCTTTCTCTCTGTATACGAGATCTCCTGGCTGCGGTAAAATCTGTCAATAACCGTTAGCATGCGGTTTCAGCTGTTTACCAAACTGGTTTGAACACGAGACGCACGCCCTCGTTCCTCGAGTCGAATATGCATGTAGGTACTTATGCATATTTATGCAGGAGGAGCAACAGCGCGGTCAACTCGCGTGATTTATGGATATCGGGAAAAATTTAATGAGCCACTGTTTTACGGTCCTATGATAATAGCCGCGCAAACGCAGAGTCAATAAATGCAACGTGCAGACAACACACACGGCCCGTAATAT